GCTTGGAGCCAAGATTTCCAGAAAAGCCAGGAGAGGTCTTCAGAGTTGTTCCAGACAAAACTCATTCTGTGATATTTTAAAGCCATCTGTGCAGCTTCTGACCAACCAATCTCCCTCACCCAGGAGGGCAGGTTATGGCATCGTATGATCATAACTCAGAGCTTTCTATTTGCTGTCTGTGACTTCAGCTGAAAACACCGCAGCATTACACATCCTGTGGCATGTCCACAAAAGACTACCATGCCAGCAAGAGGTAACAGCCTGAAAAGCAGTTCTGCCTCATGAAAAAATCACCGCCTTGGTGCTGTGATATTCTGTGAATTTGTATCCCCAGAAGGTAATAAATGAAACCATCAAATTATATGAGAAATGCCTTCACTTTTCTGACAGCCCCATCCGTAGCCCTTGTAATCTAAAGTCTCTACACTAAGTCATTGCAAACTAAGCCATACACATATCATATTTCCTCAACAACCTCCACTTGAAAGACCTGCTTACAGCTACTCAGAAGCTTACCAATCTTTAAAGCCCTCAGTTGAGATTTACATGCTGTCAGGACCATTGGTTTTATCTGAACTTTAGGCAACTAACTAGGTTAATTCTTGTGTAATGCAAGGAAATGGAGCTGAGAGGCTGAGGTGCCCCACTCAAAGACAATACGAGAGCCGGGACCCATCCTTGCTGAGCACCTCTGTTTCAGTGCACCAGTGGCCTGCAGGGCTTGCAGCCTCTGTTCTTGGAAGCTAACAGCTGCAGGGAGGCTCAGTACCACAGTAGCAGGAATAGTAAAGAACTGGACCAGGCAGTGAAACGGGAGAGAGGTAGAAGATTGTACTAAAATAAATGTGAAGTTGGAGTCAGTGAAGAGATCCTAAGAGAGAGATATTATAAAAGGATTAGGACTAGTTGACATTGCACAGGAAAGCTTAGTCCTATGTTTTCATAACTACTGAAAGCTGGACTTGCAATCTGTACAATGTTGTTTTAGGGGAGAGTTCACATGTAATGACTGCACAGATGCATGTAGTCAGATGTGGCATTTAAGGGAAAGTAGGCCAGCTCAGGTACGTCCATTCCAGTCAGAAGCAGAGCCCTGAAGTCAGAAACCAAGTCCTTCTTGAGCCACTCAGATGCCTAACAGTACATTTCTGCCATGATATTGAAGGAAGCGTCCACACTGACCACTCTCTATGAACACATGAAAAAAAGCAGAGCTGTCCTGCATTGCCTTTCCCCCCACTCTACAGGCTACGTCTCTGCAAAGCACTGCTGTACACCCTGACTGGAAATGAAACTCGTATGCCAGGCCAGGAGTGCTCCCAGCCACTCATGAAGAAATGACACCATGTCTCTGTCTCTGCACTGCAGCATGCACATTACCACAGACTGATCTAGGCTCTGGCTGCTGCACCAAAATCCCTTCCTTTGAGCCTCCCCAGTGGCAAAGACATGTTGTCCCTCAGACTGGGACAGGATGAAGGTGTGATAGCCCAGATCTGCACAGGTCTTCCCCAGTTTCAAGGAGACCCTGGCTGGACCAGCCTTAGAGCCTATGGCATGGGAGTTCCCAGACACTGTAGCACCAGGGAACAGTTCCCTCCACCATGGCAGAAGGGACACATTTGGGACTTGCTGCTGAATTGTGGGCAGCAGCACCTCAGGAGGTTCAGCACCAGTCTGGGATTTGAGGAATCTCAGAAGCATTCCAGAGGTTCTGGCTGATTTTGTGGTGTCCAGAGGTCCCACATTTTCTCAGCACAAAGAGCTGCGTGCTCTCCTAGAAAGCTGCTTTGACCACGACTAAAAGCTCTCTCCAGAAGAACAAGTTCAGAGCCAGAGACATCTCCCTCCCCACAGGCAGTGCACCCTTCAAGGCAGAGCTGAGAAGGGCTCTGACTCAGGCGTGAGTTGCTTGTCAAGAAACAGCTGGAGATGTTCAGCAGTGCTGGAGTGCTGGCCTTGGAGTCTCATTGAAGCTGAGAAAGGCACACTCAGGGGTTTCGTGACATGCTGCATCCCACAGCGCCAAAAGTCATGAGGTTCATGGCCAAACAGATGGACTTCACTGGGAGGAGGGGGTGGCCACCTGAGGAAGGACTGCAGAGTAACAGGAGCCAATACCAAATATGTGCAGGACTTCTTAGCAACGTGGGATTTAGCCTAAACATGCTGTTGGACAGCAGATCTCTGGATATTCCCTCGCTCTCCCTTATTCACATATATGAAAGCTTTCCCTGGAGCCCACCATCACCAGTGGCCTCCCTCCAGCAGCCTTTCTGCACTACTCTATCTTACTCAGTGGAGGCCAGGAGCAAAGTCTCAGCATCACCTTCCCCCTTCCCACACTAAGTAACCTAACGTATAAACTCCTCATACAACTCAGGCCACCCCTCCTGTTCACCACGGGGTGTTACACACTCTTCCACATCACTGAACTATGAGAGGAAGAAGAAAGTCAGAGTGGGTGTTTCAAACAGATGCAAGTACCACCAGCAATGCACAAACTATGTTATATGGCTGATGGCTTGTGGGCATTCAGAAACAACTACAGTCAGCAGTGCCTGTCACAACTGCTGTTGATGCTAACACTCTTTCAGAAAAACTGTGCATCTGGTGGATGATTCTATTTACACTGTCCTTTCACTCAGTCCCCAACTCCCACCTCTGTGAGTTTTCCTTTACTCGTAGTTCCTTGTCACAACTCCCACATGCTGCTCAGCACTTCTGTGAATGCCCATTTCCATCCCATAACAAAAGAATCATGAGGAGCAAGCAGGAAGCATTCTCCTGAAGAGTATACCCAGCATGCAGGGTTTGATCAGGATCAGGGCAATGCTCAGCATTTACTTCCTTCCCAAATATAAAATCAGGCCTCACTGTGCTGGGCCTGACATGCATGGCACAGAGTTCTGCCCTCTTCTCAAAGATTTCTCCTTGGCTTGCTGCCTTGTATTGCAAAGCTGTGTCTCCTCTCTGGATTTCCTTTCACTGTGCATTCAGAGCTTGTCCTCCTTCTGCTGCCTTCCCTGGCTGTGACATGTGTGCCAGTTGAGCAGGCCTGTTGAAAAATGCCCCCCTCTCTCCCTGTTTGTAACACATGCTCAAAACCAAAACCATCTCAAGACATCTCTGCTCTATGTTCTGGGCAACATGTGCTCTCACTGGGACATATCCCAGCTGGTCTGCCTCTGTGAGCTGCTCCCTGCTGTTGTAATGTGGCTGATGAGCAGAAAGAGTTAGACAGAGGAAGGAAATAGAGAGCAAAGAAATAACCTGAGAAAAGGAAGTGCATAAGAAAGGTGAAGAAAGGAAAAACTTAATGGAAAACAAGCAGGAAAAATGAGAAAAAAAGAAGAGAGAAAAATGCAAACAATGATGAGCAGAGAGAAAAATAAACAGAGAAGATAGAAAATGTAAACAAAAAAAATAAAAAAGAGAAAAAATTGGATCGAATGAAGCAATAATAGCAGAGTTGGTCCCTACATTGAAGATATACTTTATCAGAAATATCTCTTTCGACACTCTAGATAGCTTGGTCAGGAGGCAGCAAATGCTGTCCGTTCAGCCGGACAGGAGCAGTCATGTGTCACAAGCAAGATCAAAGGCATCAGAAATGCCTTTTGGGGGAGTTAACTTACCAGGATCAGAGAGAAAATCTCTTCAAGTTTGAAAGAGTTAGTTATTAAATTGCTTATCAGAAAGCCGATCTGTTGCAAGTTCATAGTCTGCTTGTTCAGTGGTTGCGTGTCATGTGCCCATGTCCTCCTCATGGCGCCTGTGTGGGGAGGGCAGATGGCCACACAAGGGATTTCACAGCATTCCAGCTATAAAACTTTCTGCCCCCATGTTCTGGAGAAAATGGGTCCAAATCTATACTGCACACAGAGATCCGTGCTCTCTGCCAGCACAGTTATCCCACTAGATTTAAAGCTGGTCTGTTGCAAAATAAAAGACTACTTGAACTCTGGTTTATATCAGGTTTTCATTGCTAAGAAGTAAATCTTGCAATGAAAGCCCACATTTTACCAATATAAGAATACTAAATGAAAGCAGTGCTGATACAATAAGTATTAAATCAGAGGGAATAAGTAAAACCCACTTTATCCTCTTCATAATCTTCTGAGCACACAGACAACCAACTGAGTTCTCACAAGTTAACTCTGTGCACTACCATATGTGGGAGGAGGTTGAAGAGACAGCTCTGAGGAAGGATTTGTTGAGGGACGTTTTCTGAGGGAGTTCGCAGCAATGGTGCATGCGTCTGTTTGAGGACGATTACACATGACTGCTGGCACACACCAAACTCACTGGATTAAAGAGTGCTGGAGCTCTTCCCTTGCTTCTAAAGCTTCTGCTCTCTGTGTTTTGAATGAGTAAATACATTGCGTTTTGGAAGCAGACTTTTACCAATCTGCAGGAACAAGAGTAAAAATTTCCAAAAATTCCCAGAGGATTTAGAAAGTCTTCTTGCTTAAAACAGATGTGTCCCAAAGTCCCACCACAAATCAGAAAATGGTCACCGAATTACACTCATTCAAACTCAATATGCAACCAGCAGTGAGCCAAGAGAGGAGAAATGAGGTGGGATGTTGGACTCAGGGTCAGTAGCGCAGTTTTGCAGGAACATAACTAGGGGCAGAAATCAGATCCTTGATGCCTCCAGCTAATGCCTAATAGTCAGTTGCTGCAGAGCAAAATAAACTCAAATTCATAAAACATGACTTATGTTTGGGCCTGACATGAATGTTGAAAACGTTCTTGTTGCAGATTCTGTACCATTAAGTTAAGTAATGGTTGTTCAGCCTTGAGTTATGGTATATAGGAAAGATTTGCAACCCCTGGAGCCAGTATGCCCATGAAGATATAAAGACTGGTTTCCTTAGAAGTGTCTTTCTCGGAGCCGCATAAATCTCTGCCTGTGGGTGGCCACTCTACATGTCTAGCCATCAGAAACAGCATTGTCAAATGCTATGCAGGAACCACAAAGTCAGACTCATAAAGATTTGCCATTAATGATATAATGCATTGTCAGGAGATTAAGAGATTAAGAGTATAAACAGTATCTCTGATCCATTAAGGCATTGTGAAGGTCTTGGTTTAAAGTACCACTTGAATCTTTCCTAAAAACAGAAAAAGCAAGAAAATGTCAGTAGCATATGAATTAGACTTGAATAAATAAAGGCATTTAGAAAACGGAGCCACTCCTTGATGAAATCCTTTTAAACATTTAGTAATCAATGGGATTCATTATGTTGTAGAGTAGTGAAGGGAAAAAATGATAGCATAGAAAGGAGAGTTTAACTACCTCACATGCAAAAACATCCTTCAACCTTCACATACTGGCAACCAACAGAAATACATCATCAGTGCAGCAGCATTATGTCAAGAGAAACCAGTACAGCTTTCTCCTGTTTCTGCATTTCTTCTGCTAGTCACATCTTACAGGGTACATTCTTCAGGACACATCAGTGAGGCAAATCTGTACTTTAAACTTTGATGGTGTTCTTTCAGTTCTGCATCTCAAAAAGGAAGGCTGGTTTTAGACAAAGCAATGTGTTAATTGGAAACTGATGCTGGCATTTTCTGGAAAAAAAGTCAATAATCATCTAATCTACTTTCAGTATCTACACTAAAAAAGAATGTAATATGTAAACGTACGGTATCAACTCCCATCAATTATTTCAGTGCTTTTTATCTTTGAATTTTAATATTATAAAACATTAGTCATAAATGCACACAAAAAGTGTTTATTTTCTTTGAAAATTAGAGCATTTTTAACATTCTTAGGAACTGATGTTTGTTAGGAGCTGCATCCAGCTCTTGAAATATTAAAATCAGCATGATCTAAATGCATATTTATATAGCTCGAAGTAGGAAGTTTAATCAATATGTTATTCTTTGTCTAAAGGATTAACTTTTTCCCTTTGTCACGTCTGACTTTTTAAAATATCAGCCTCCATGCTGGGAAGACTACTTTAGCACAGAAGATGAAATCACCCAATGACAAATGTTCAGTCTACTGCCATATGCTATTCTTCCAAAGCCTAACTGCAAACTTCATCCTTCATCAGCAGAATGCTCGCCAAACTGCTTAGTTACCGAATGTGTTTGCATTTGTGTTTACAAACTGAACACATCCCTTCCTTCTTTTAATTAAAGAAAAAAAAATTTTGTAATTTATTGAACTAACCCTGTACACTCACCAGCCAAAACAAGGGAATATCCTTTTTCAGCAGTCACCTGAATTAGTGAATGCACTTCTTCAGGGATGGACCCCAGTAGCTTCTGCTGCACCCCATGTCAGTGGAGGAACTTCCACCCGCTCAGGAAAGATTCATCTCCTCTGAACAAGAACACAGTGTATTCCCTACAGGAAAGTCAATCTGTCTTCGACAGCTGCATGTTTGTGGTCACTGTGAAAGCCCCTGCATTTGTAATCTAAGTAAAAGTGATAATTCTTGCTTTTCTAACAGGGTTACTGTGAAATGACTGTTTATGTTCGTGAGGAAGTCAGATATCCAGCGAAGGCTGCAAGAGAAATGCATACCAATAACCCAGAGGTGCAACTCTACAGAGGATGCTGAAAACTGCCAGGAAGGAAGCTTCAAATGTGGAGTAAGTAGGCCCAGCACTGGGAAATGCCAGTGGGATCCAAAGGTTTAGGAGGAAGTCAGCATTTGTATCTCTTGACAGCTGATGAAAAACAAAGAAAAAAAAACAGTGTCATCGTGTTACAACAGAAGAGGCCAACCGAAAATGACAGACCAACTGACTGGCCAATATTGTAACATCATATTTTCCAGAGAGGCTATGTTAGAAAACAGAAGTGCACTTTAGGGTGAGTCCTCATCAGCTTTGATTGTCTGAATTGAAGCAGAGCCTTTGAAGAAGAGCCACAAGCACTCATGCAGCGCTATGACCTTCTTGGCATAAAACGCAGCCAAATGGGCAGGAAATGGGCTCTTTTTGCTCCTTTCCTTTGCGCGTTTCTCTGTCCTTACTGGAGAAGTGGCCCCTTGGTGAAACACATTTTAACAGATGCAGTATCAGTGGCTCATTTATCTAAGCACCAAATTTTTCCCCATTGTATTATCATCTTTCTCAGCACACATTATATCCAATTAAAAATTCCTAATAGGTCTGCAGGGAAGAGTCCTTTGTTGAACAGTCAGTGGCAAAATTTCCATCCATTTCAGTAGGGCTGGAATTTTATCAGATCTCTCTCATTCTGTGGGCTTCTTCTGTTGGGAGGGGAGAATTTGTGCTCACTTCTATTCTTGCAGGCTAGTACCAATGTGTGTTCAATTATACCACACTGCTTGGTTCTGCACCATTCTTTAGGTGTACTTCTGCACATTCATTATCCTCTCAGTGGAAAAAGTCCTGTGGTCTTTGGATTTTGCAGTTCTTTTTGTATGACTTAGCCTACATTTCAAAGTACTTTGTCTCTGGTGTGACCTGAAATAAATTAAAAGGTACCATATGTGAGAGGATTTAAAAAAAAAAAAAAGTGCATACATTATCAGAGGTTAATATGCAGGAATAAGTCTCATTTGGTGGCTTTTTCCCCACAGAAATCCCATACTTGAGGTGAGATACTCAACACAGTTGGCAGTGAGATATTTCTTTTTGTTTCCCCTTTTCATATGCAGAATAAATTAGAGGATAAAGTGTAATGATGGGAGATGCAGATGAAAGTAGTGGCTCAAACCACTGTAACCCAAGGTTGTCACGGTTACCCATACCCGGCATGTTGGTGGAAGCTGCTGCAGCCTCTCAGAGACAACGAGAGCCACTGTGTCCCCAAACATCCAGTGCAGTGAGGCACCAGTCACTTGGAAGATGGCAATGCCATGTGCTGGTGAAGGTCTGATCTGGATGTCCCTATGTTCCTTTCCAGCAGCCAACTTAGCTCATGAAGAACCTCCTGGAGATTTTGGAGCTGCCAGCTCTGATAATGGCTTGGAGACATGACAAAGATGGCTCAGCCTCCAACCACACTAGACACCACAGGTGGTTGACAGGCCTGGCAAGGCCACTTTATTTTTAATATGCTTTCCTTAGAATCAGGAAGAAAAAAACATGAAGATAAAAGCTGTGTTAAAAGCTAAACAGATACAGGCAACACTTTGCAAAGGCAGTCTGACTTCAGGATTAGATCATTCTAATAAACAAAAATAACAGCATTTGCCAAAATACTTGCAGTGTTATGTCTCACTTTAGCAAAGGAACACGGACTGAAACCTGCATTCTTACTGCACCCTTATTGTCTTCTATAAAATCAGATTTATCTTGTTACCTGGTTATCACATGATCAAGCAATCAGTTAAATTAAGCTATCCTTAATTGATATTTATTTCATTTGTGTGCCACAATTAAACTAAGAAACAAGTTAAAATTAATGTGAACAGGAACTAAAAAAAGGAGTGACACTTTGTTTTTACAAAATTCATTCAAATGCAAATTACTCTACCTGTTTGAAGAGTTTTTGTCACAGGTGGAACAACTATCTCCAGTCTATGTTTCAGACAATATCTTGCATACATCTTATATACAAGGGTTGCATCTGACCAAATGAAGTGCTAAAAGTACATAGAGAAGGGGAAGGAAGAAGAAGTCAATAAAGAAGCTTCTGATTGAGATTAAGAATTCAGGAAGTATAGGTATTGAAATTAAAAAGGCAAGAAGTTAGGAAAAAATGGAGAAAGTTTTCTATCACTGTGGAAAAAGCAGAAGGGCCAAAAAGAGAGTCCAGTGGGCAGCATGAAGGTTGAATTGAAGGATAAGTTTGACAAGGAACAAAACCTGAGCTTTGACTGAGGTGGTCATCTTGAATATGCAATGGCTAAGAACAGTGGTAGATAGAAAGAGCTGTTACTCTAAACCACAATGTAAGTAAATTTGAAAGAAAATATTGCAGGAAAAGTAAATTGAACATACACTCCTCCCTAAATTCTGGAAAAGCTAGTCTTTGGAACTGGGAAGTGGTGAAGCCAAAACAATTAAAGGTACAGTGACAAGAGGAAAAGGGAATAAAACGTAAAGTGGATTGATTTGATTTTTGGTATACAAGACTTTTGGAAGATGGTAGATCCATTATTTTGGCCTTGAGTAAAACATTTTCTCAGGGATGTAATGCTTGAGGAAATTATTACAAGAGGCAGTACATTGGCTGAAAACAGAGAAGAACAGACTCCACAGAAAGGGCATGATTGTACTGATGGGAAGTTATTAGTGGAGTTCATCCAGCAGAAAATATTGGATCTTATGGTAACACTTTAGCAATGATCTATATGGTTTAACTACAGTTCATCATGTATTAATGAAATTTGCCACTAAAAGAGCACGGAAAAAAGCTGCCAAGAGAGGAGGACTGTAATATCATTTGGGAAAAACTTAATGAACGTGAAGTCTGGAGCAACAGAAATGGAACGTATGCTTAGGATCTAATAAGAGGGGTATCTGCTACTGTCCAGGAGATCATTTGTTTGGAGCTGGAAGAAAGACTTCAGTGTATTATTTAGAGCAATTTGAAGCCATGGATGTGATGCATCTATAAGAAAGGCAGACATGATCATAAGATGAATCAAATATTTCCCATACAAGAAGTGATGAGTCAATTAGATTACACAAAAGCTGTTTGGCACTCCATCTGTAATGCTGTGCACAATTTTGGTTACCCCCATTCTAAAAAAAGTAAGTGAAATTGCAGCAGTGCAAAGAAAGACCAGCAGGGAGATAAAGTGACTGGAGAAATTATTCTACATAAAATGAACAGAAAAGCAAGGTTGAATATGTGCAATTGCTCTCTAAAAATGCATCAATGAGAAAATAGCAGGAAGAATTGTTAGAAGAAAGAGCAATAGTAACATGGAAAACCTAGTGAGTAGAACTGGTGGAACTTTTAGCCATATGTGAGACAAGATGTGGAACAACCACGTAGGTTTCAAATAGAGTCTGATCTAGGTAAATGTTTGATAAGAACGGTTATCAAACTAGTTGCTTTCAATTGGAGTAGATACAATTCAACAACCAAAAGACCATTTCCAGACCTGTGATGTGATATTGTGGAGCAGATCATGACCCTTAAATGTAGACATGAGGAAAGGAGAGGAAAGGATCAGATCTTAGGCTGTTCAAACTTAAGCACAGGTCTGCCTGGGTTGAACAGTGAAGATGCAACAGAAAATGTTAATTCTGAACTTCAACACTTTTTTCACTGCAAAAGGTCACTAGCTTCCAACCCCACCCAAGACAGCTGTGTTGGAGTTTTTCAACCAAGCCCAAAACTTGCAGCTTTGTTTCTGACTGGAGCTAAGAACAGAGGACTGCTTGAAAGGAATGTTTGGAAGGAATAGGAAGAGTGGGAGAAAAAAAGTTGTGTGTGCCAGGCTGGTTGGAGAGGAAGCAAGAGAACATCTCAGGGACAGCATAACGAAGAAACAGTAGTTTCAGGCTAGGAATACCTGAAAATCAACAGGGAAAAGGATGAGGAGAGTTGGCATGTAGCAAAAGATCAAGCTCTACATATACATATCTCTTCATAACGTATTTATTTATTTATTTGGGGGGGGGTGGGGGGTGGAGAGAGAGAGAGAAAGAGGATAGAAATGTATATCTCCTGTGGGATTTATTGTTATTTTATTTTGTAAGGAAGTGGTCTGCATTTCAGCTGATTGTTTGCAACTGGAAGGAAAAGGTTGGATGTGTTTAGAAATCCTCCAATACATATTACAGTTACATATTACAATCCTGCAACTCACCTTCACTGTGCCTCTGCTCTGAGTGAGTCACCAACACACATAAAAGAAAAGGAAGGAAGTGCTGGGGTTAATGAAAAACAGCCTGCTTGGAAACTTAATTCTAATGTTAATGATTAAAGAAAACAGAAGATAAAGTATTCCTTCCAAGCCAAAAACACTGTTCAGAGTAAGCAAAAATTAAAACAGGAATAATTTATTCCCCACAGCATTGCAGAGGAAGAAGAATATAGAATAAACACTATGCAATGAGAAGCTCTAGATTCTGTTTGTCAGTAGCAATGGGAATTGTACACACTGATAATGGAAGCAGCCTCTGAATGTGTTAGTCTTGAAGTGGGTCTCCATGCTAGCCACAGCAAGCTGGTGGCAGCCCTGGGGTGAGGATGAGGACTCCCAGCATCACACTCAGGTGGCTGTGATGTGGCATGGAGGCTGCCACCAGCAATGTAGACCAGAGCTGTTTGGGGACTCACCAAGAAATTATAATAGTACGACACATTTAATCTGCCAGGGAAACAACTGACCAACACCTGTTAGAGCCATGGTACGCCTCGCAGCCTGACATCCCTCTAAGGCACCAGCGATTCCGTGAAGCTGATAGAGCAAAGCTGGTTTTTACCTTCTGAGATACTGACACCTTTGCTACTTCTCCAGAGCAGCTCAGATGCAGAGAAAGCAAAAACTGCACAAGATAAAGCCTGCATGTTTTTTTCAAGACTGGTGTTGTTATCTATGGCTACATATCTCACACTGATACAAGGATATCTGACTTAAAGCTTCTTGGGTTATCCTATCAATACTATAATTCTTTTGCAAGAGGACAAAGTTAATCACTTTTGCTTCAAAATTATAAAAGCAGAAATAAACACATAGTGAAGAAGGGATCCACCCTGAAGTCTGTTCCCCTAATATGTGCTAAAAATATTTGGGTGGCTCTTGCTGCAGCCCCATGGAGTAAAGTCATTATATGCTCTTGACTTTTATGTAATAAATTTAGTATCATCTGCATGTTATGATAGTTTCATACCCCAATTGACATAAACCACTATAAAACCTCATATCTGAACTCAGATCAAAAGAGATTATGCACTAGCTCAGACAGATGCTTTTTATTCAGTCCTTTCAGAAAAGCCTGGAATTTCAACTGCAAGCTTTCTTGGGATTTTTTGCAGTTAACTGGTCATTCACTGAGCAGCCTGCATCTTTCCAGAGGTTGTTGCAGACCTTACGAGAGCCAGAAGAAAACTCATTTTCCGTAGCTCATTTTTTCCTAGGGAGTCTTGCATTCCAAGGGTTTAATAGTCTGAATTCTATATACGAAATCCCATCTTCTAAATGTGTTTCCCATGAGAGATTTTTTATTTATTTATTTTTTGCTACCATAAATACTTTAAAGCAGTCATTACTGTAAGAAAAACACTATGAGAGGAGAAGCATTAAAATGGACAATAGAAGGATGAGGTAATGGTGTCATAGTTTCCCAAAGGCTGAGATATTCAAGAAGCCTACACAAATAAGTCATTCATTTAATAAAGAGGGTTCATTTGAGCAAAGTACCAATGTTTTGCTGGAACCTGAAAATCCCAACCTCTAGTGACCACCAGCTGCTCTTGACTCAAGTCTTCACAAGGTGTGATGCTCTCACACCAGAAAAACCATCAGGAAAACAGGCATGGTGTTTCTGACAATACTGATAATTGTCACAATTTCTGACAATACCAGCAATCATGGGAGGAGTTCACCATGACCACAAGCAGCAAGTGTCCTTTATCATAAGCCCAGCACATGGAATTACTTAGATCAAAATCAGATCTTTGACCTTCTCTTCTCCATACCTGTAGGGCTGGGACTGAGCACTGGGACTCTGAAACCTTTTTTAAATTGACTTCTGCTCCTAAATCTCTGTCCTTTTTTAAAAGCCCGCTACCCAAGATGTCAGTCGCTACTGGAAGTGTTAGTGAAGATGTGCCAGCAAAGAACTGCTGAATGTAAACAAATTAGTGTCTTGCCTGTCACTCTCACCAGGCACACACAGCAATAACCTGCTTTCCATCTCCTGCAAAACTGGCGAAGTGACAGAGCATGGGTGAGACAAATAGGAAGAACAGGTCTATCATTTGACTTTTGCAGTGTTACTCACATCTGTCCTGATCCAAGGATGTGAGTAAGCAAGTCTGCAGGTGAAGCTCAGTGAGATTTCTGTGTGGTCCACAAGTAGCAGAAGGCTCTTCTGTTTCCACCTCAGTCACCTCAGTCTCCTTGGCTGTACAAAGGCAATCACACAGTCCTGAAAGACTCTGACAGACATGTCCCTAGTGGGAAGAGCCATGTAAAAGGTGAATGGAACTTGGACTTGGCCATGATTCAACCATTCCTTACATGCAGACAAGGGCACTGAAATGTGCAGAAGAGCGTCCCTGCCTAAAACATACTTTTTTGCACTCAGCAACAAGTTAGAGATCAGTCCAGATGTACAATGTCATCTTTTGGTTACCATCCATAAATCTCCAGCTTTCCATACTCCCAGCCAAATCTATGATACTCTGGATCAACCTTTGGTAGAGGAAGAATGGGAGACACCTTATTATTTCATAGGCAGTAACCTGCAGGTTGCCACAAAGGATACTAGACATTGTTTATCTAAATCTATAAAACTCATAAGTCTTATCATGTGTGTCAGAACATACCTTCACTGAAGCTCTGTTACATTGGCTGTAAGAAAAATAACTCCGCCCTGAAGGGACAGCACTTGCAAATTTTGTGACACTAGTGGAACTTCTCCATTTCTTCATGTAAAAAAAAGGTTGCTGAAGAACTGAGTCTTTAGCTCTGCTAAAATCATCAGTGAGCAAGTATCTATCCATGATCTATCTATGTCCAGTTAAGCATGATAGGAAGGGAATTGTCAGCCTTGAATTTTAATGTAAATGAAATGGGCTGATTTCATGTAAATGCAACAGTGTAGAGCAGGATGGAATAATTCATGTACGAGAAAAAAAAGATGTGTCCACAAGTAAGTAACTTGTATTTATGTATTTCAGTCTTACAGGACATTGTAAAATCAAGAGCAGTTGACCATTATGTTAAAACATAATACTCAGAAACACATTATTCTCTCTCACAGTGCATTAACTCAGATTGAGTAGAGAATTAAAAGAAATCTATAGCTTTTAATGTAAGTGCAAAAATGGTGAGCTGGGAGACCTCAAGCACTCCCAAACAAATGTGATGACATCTTACAGAGTTCCTAGCATAAAGAATCCACCCCACTGAAGGCACTGTCCTAGGAGGAGGCAGGCAGTTGTAATTTGGGGCACAGTTTGGACCCACAGTCTCTGGCATTCCATAAATGCCTTTGTGCAGAAAAAAACAAAAACAAAAACAAAAAAAACAGGCATTTTCAGAATTTAAATTGGTGTCAGAGCCATGCATAACTCCATCTCTGCTGCCTGTGGCCCCCTGCCAAGTGCAGAAGTAGTATCTTTGGAGGATCTGAAGGAAACCAGCCAAGGAGACCTGCTTAATCTCCTCCTTTGTATATTCATCACAGAAACCTCTCCAGGAAATGCCTGGGCTCCCAAGCCTTCCATCATGTACACAGCTCCTAGCAGCTTGCTGAGGTCCTTCTTGTCTTGCTCTCAGGCACTCTACATGCAAAATATTACAAGACTCCACATTCCGTATAATTCAGAAATGGCCTAGGTCCTAGCTTATTGTTATATTAAAATGACCAATAGGACTGCCCTTTGTTTTCCAATCTGGAAGGATGTGATACCTCCTGTGAGTCTTTGTCAGCCTGGGAAGAGGCCAAGAAACCTGCAAAGCAGAGCTGCTAACTCTGCTTCTGCCCTTTGTGTCACAGGCGCTCATTAAGCCATCCCAGGAGCTGCTTTCCCAGATAAACTGTCAAATCTTCCCTTGTAGTCTCAGTTCCGGCTTGTCCAGAGGCAATTTCATTTCTAGCACTCAAGGCTGTTGTGTGCAATGCATCGCATGAGATGGAGGGGCTGCAGGCAGGAGCTTCTCCTCCCTGTGGTGCAGCAAGGACTGCTGGCAGCATCTTTGTCTCCCCTGGGGAAAAAGCAGTGGAAAGGGATCCTTGGGTGAGCAGTGCAGTCCGAACCACAGATGTTTTAATTAGGAAGGATTAGTCAAGTCCTGTGCTTTCTTGAGGCTACAACATTTTTGATGTGAGAAAGCACAGAGGAGCCAAGTTCCTTGTAACCCTATACTGGAAAGCAATGGCGATAGGATTTTGAAAAGATTCCAGTGAGAGATGAGTCCATCAAGTCCACAGTAGCTGCTGCTACCTTTCTATGCTTATTAGAGCTCATTAAAGTATTAAATGGAGTGATCCACTAAAAATTTTCTTGCCTTGCAGGTGCTCAAACTTAATTCTTCACTCAGATTCTGTGTACGCCCAGAGCACACTGTTTCTCCTTTCCAGAGCTGACAGACAAGTATAATAGCCTTGGAGGGCTCATTGTAAAGATCAGCTCAACAGGTCATGTATAAATCATTTCCATATAAATATCTCATAGGATTCTGAGATCACTATATATTAAAATATGGATGGCATCCTTAGCCAAGAATGAATCCCAAGAAGCTTTATGGGCTTTGTGTGTGCTTAAGAAATAATGAATTCCCAGGGAAAAGAGCACGGCTTTTTATTGTGTGTAATATTGAAAGTGCATCTATGATTACATAAAACCAGAAAATGCAAACTGGCATTTGACTTATGAGGACAGGAGCTCCCACTGGATCACAGTTTTGGCCCTGGCAGCGCTCAGGCTGACATTCATGAGGATGATTTGAAGGAGACTTTTGCTCATATCAGCATGAGAGAAAACCATGTTTTGAACACCTGCGGAGACAAAGACACTTCCAGACCAGCAAAAATGAGAGCCTGAAGGAAGAATCATACAGCACGATGTAAGACTTGTAATTGGTACAAGTTCAGTGTGGGGACCCGTGGTCAGTGCCCCACCTGTCTGCTTTGGTATCCTGCACTGGTGACTTTTGGACATCTACTAAGAGTCTGGAGTTTGCTAAAAGCAGTTGTGAAATCCAGGAGATAGTTGTGAGCACAGGTTCAATGTCAATGAATGTCAGGAGTGGGGCAGGAGGAACAAGTATCTTGCCTACAAGCCCAATCCCTGCTGCTAGTCCTGTGGGGCTGAGCTCACCTACCACTTCCATGCCTTCACTCTCCAGCTAAACAAATTTGGTTTTACTGTCCTCTCATTCACAATACATGATAAAGATGCTGTAGTGGAAGTGCCAAGTTATGGCCTGAAGCAATGATTGAGCACCTGGTGGGAAGGCAGGGCCAAACCAGAGGAGCTCAGCTGCATGCAATGCACCTAAATGGAGTCAGGATCCACCCCTTCCCAGATCTCATTTAAGGGTTGGCAGTGGAGAGAGAATCTTGGAGATTCCTATCTACCAGAGGCCTTCTAATGGTAAGTAGTTTTTCTTCCTTTGTTTCTGTATTCACGGCTTGTACAATTGTGTTTGTTTTCACTTGTTGCAGCTTAGGATTGTGCTACCCTGCTACTATAGTACTTTCCATTGCAGCATTACAGATGTCATAAATAGTACTTGAGCTTGAATGTGTACTTGTTTAAGAAGCTGATGAAGAATCCCTCATGCCACTTAAGGGCTGCTGATGTTATGTTTTGCGTGGCTGCCAACAGCATAAATGGCATCTGCATAAAAGAAACTTGACTTTACAGAAGGAGTTGCTGCCAGAAAACTTCTCCAAGCACTGTCTAGCTTATTCTGTACCCTCTCATTTGACTGTTATCCTTAATAGGCACATGCAGTAGATAACCTGTTTTCCATCTTCTGCAGAACTGACAAAGTGATAGGAGCATAGGTAAGATAAAAAGAGCAGGTGTATCATTTGACTTTGCTGTGTTACTCGCATCTGTTCTGATCTGGACTCTCATCCAGGTGACAGGCTGTGCATGTGAGCCAAGAGAGCTGTTCTTTGGTACAGACCTGTATCAAGATGTCAAGTGAGTTAGCAAAATTGCATTCCTTTTGTATCTTCTTTTTTTTTTTCCCCTGCCCATTTTTTTTTTCTTAAAATAAGTGCAAAAATCTATAGTGCGTGTTCAGACTTAACAGGAAAGGGATGTGAGGGTTTTGTCTGTTTGTCTTCTGGAATGCTGTGCCAAATTTTTTTTTTTTAGTAGAGTGAAGGAAAAGATCATTCTCCGTTTCCCTATATGAATGTGGCATAAACAACTGAATCTTCAGTGTTAATGTTTATCAGTCTTTCTTCCCCTGGTAGCAAGGATGGAACAGGAGCTATCTCTTATGTGATAAGACTCACTCTAGCTCCCTGCTGCAGCAAAGACATGCAGACATGCTGTGACCCACCAGCACCCCCATGGACGTTGGCAAATTCCTGCTTAGCCCTCCAGGTGCCCTCTGAGCCTTCTCAAAGATACCTGGGCTTTTCTGCTGATGTGGGTGGAGTTGGTCCTTGTTAGCTCTGAGCTTGCATTATGTAGTTCAGCAGTGATTATGGCTACTAGTGTGTATCAAGTATTTTTACTAGCCTATTTTTTGGAGGAAGAGCTACAAGACCATGCCACCATGCACGTGCTGTGAGGCTATTCAGAGTTCAGGGAGTGCAATATGAATGTCTTGTCATGGGTGGATGGGGAATAGGAGAAAGACTGTGTCTCTTGGAGCCATTACCAGATAAAAATCAAGGTAAGCGTAACTCCCAGTGTAAGGCATTCACATGAGCATGAATTGGTGAGCAGCAAGATGCTGAAGCTGTTTGGTTTATGCACATGATCTGCTGCAGTAACCTCTTCCCCTGTACCTCACCCCTTGTCTCATCTGGTTTCAGTGGATTTCCAAAGACATGTTTTTGGTAAACATGCTGTTTAAGATCCAGATCATGGTATCTATTACTGTGTAGGCTGTTTCTGTTGGTGACTCTTTGGTAGTGCATCTGACATTCTCTCAGCTGCAAGAGCTGGAGCTCTGTTATTTCTTACTTAGAATGTTTATGTGAACATCAAACTTACTGCCTTATGCTCTATTTCAGAAGTATAAATAAATACTACTAATCACTGTCAAGCACAGAGCAATGCTCAGCTTGTTAAGGTGTTATACAAACACATAACAAAATGATTTTCTAACTACTTTCAAGTTCTTTCTTCTCTTTTGCTTTGATCATGAACAAGAACATTCCGTGTGTAAGGGAACAACAACAATGTATCATAAAATTTTGTTTTAAGAGTTGTTTTCTTTGATTTGTTAGAGGTTGTAGGCATAATTTTGAATGAAACAACAGCAGGAATTGCTGTGTTAGGTCAGAGCAGGTTGCTGAGCTTGTCCTTGTCTCTGCCTCACCATCACAGACCTGGAGCAACAATAAGATTGTCTAGGTAAATGCCTGCTTAGTTACCTTTGAATATCTGTGTCGTAATGGCTGCTCATGCAAGTGTTACTGCACGTTCAATCTGTCTTTTATTTCTACTGCAACCTGTCTCAGAAATCAATACTGGAGAAGCTCAGATTCCAGCCCTAGCAACTGGCAATTACACCCAACCTGTCTGAATGCAGCAAAGCCAGAGTTCAACCTAGTTGGTTTTATCTATGCTGCACATCACACTGACATGATGGTGGCATGTGAAGCTCTAAGAGGAATGTAGTCATGCTACTTATTTATGTAGGTGCTATGAAAAATACAGTTAGCCAGCTTTCCTTTCTTCCATCCGTGCCAAGCCCAGATGGTCAGGGAAACGAAATAAAGCTTCACTTTATTTAAAACAAACAAGCAAAAACAAAAAACAGCACCTCATCCATGAGTATAGAGATGCAAGTGTGCCTTTCTGTCTGTGTGCCCATTAGTGACTCTTTAGAGCAAAAGACTAGCTTTTCTCCTTAGTTTTCCATTACATTCCCAAAGTTAATAGAGCTGTTTCAAGATGACAGTATTGTTCCCTCTTCCTAAATACCAGGAAAATCTGATACTTGCTGTAATTATTTATTAAAAAAATCTTTCCACTTACCTTCAGTTATGAGTAATACTTAAACATATTGTAAGATGATCAGTGTAGTCACCTGAGACCAAATGCTTCTTTCTGTGATAATTCTGCATGCTGCTGGAGCTGATAGGGCTCAACACAGATGTTTTTTTTTTTTTTAAAGTGAGCACTGTTGGAGGACAGTGTAGAAGCATTCAGGTGCAAAATGTCTCTCATGTGGAAACTCTCAGAAGAGTGGATGGCTCAAAGGACAGAGGTAGTCATGGATCTAGATCTCTCACATCCTGGAGGCTGGGGAAACGTGGGTGTCCACTGCTGCCTTTCTGGGTGTTTTGCTTTAAGCTGTTTGTTTTCTTTGCTTTTCTTGTAAGTGTCTGAAATAAACCATTTCATCTGGAGTCAGAAGGAATGCTTATTGAGTAGAATTAGCTTGTTCTGCTTCACTGAGAGAGAAACAAAACATTTCCTTTTTACTCTAATTCACTTCAGAATCAAGTCCTTTTTTTTCCCCTTTCATCTGTCTGCTTAAATTAGGAGATTTGATGCAACTATGTGAAGAACAAAAAGCATAGCCATATCATTCACAACAAACTGCTCAAGTGCAAGAGGACTTACCACATTTTTCTTTCTAGGTCTGCACACCTGGTTAACCAAGAAATCCTCTCCAAAAAGCTTGATACAGGGTCTGAGTTCTTGTGGGTTTGGTAGAAGCTTTCAATAGTTTCCCAAGGCTAAGATGGCTGGGATGCTTGCAGCAACAGGAGCAAATGGCTTGATTGAGGCAATCCCCATGGATTGTTCAAACCTTTGCAGTTAGGAAGCTAGTGCAGCTCCAAGGGAAGGGAAAGGAGCTGGTTTTCTGTGGGGGTCAGCGCTTGGTCTTCCTCATCATTCACCACACAGCAGTACACTACCTGGGTAATGTCCTGGCAAATGAGCACCTGGCCCAACCTTCCTCCTTGTCACCTGACGGATGGTGGCAAAACTGGCAAAGGGCGCCTGGCTTCAGCCCCTGAGAGGAACATCATACACTTGTGACTACCACTGAAAGTGAGCCACTGGAAAATCTTGTCTTGGATCAGAAACTCTGGCCATGCATTTACAAAGCATTATCTCAGCTATTCCAGCAGTGACAATCCTGGCACTTTGTTGTGGCTGTCCAACACAGTCCAGCACATGCTTGACTTGTGGTATGTTAGAGCTCAGCTCCTTATTGCAGCAAAGGCCTTCTGAATTACCCTGGTGATGATGTCAGCACCATCCTTTCCTTTATTTTTTTTATTTTTTTCTCTCCCTAGCCCTGAAGCAAGGCAACATCTGGAGAATGGACAGCTGAGGCAGCTGGAGGCAGGAGACCATGTCTATCCCACAGCTGCAGAGGTAAGTGACCTGTCAAGCCAACAAGGATGGGATGACTATAACATTGCTTGGCTGAAAGACCTGTAGAGCTTACTAGTCAGATTCAGACTATATAAATGAGCAGATACACTTGGTCACACAGAAATCATCTGCATGCATAAAATAGATACATAAGCATAGCCATACATGTGCATATATAGAGAAGATCCATGTCCTCATGATGGCAAATCTGCCCCTGAGTAGTCCTTATTCTTAAAGCACTTGTTGTCTCCCATGGGATGCTGTTTAAGGGTAAGCATGTGAAGACTTTGGCATGGATTGTATTATCTGTTAAGAGGGTGAACATTATTTTTCCAGGCTGTAGGTTGAGGTAGCTGGCTGGTTTTCCTCCTTCAGAAAGAGAATACTGAAATATTCAGAAGTTTCATATAAAGTATAAACATGCCAATTCTGCTGACTTCTGAAGTCATTACCATAGCATCAGCTTGAAAACACATTTGTCCAGAAATGAATTTTTCCCTAATGAAATAAACAGAAATATCTGTAAGAAGTGTTGTGCCTTTGTCTCCTGTAGAAGGGCTGCTCAGAGAGCCCAGCAAAGGCAGGAGTCTGACGTGTCCTTTGAAGAGCTCAAGTGACAAGTGCAAGACCTGGCCAAAAGCTGCTAGCTGTTTGGGTTTAATTCCAAGGAGCATAAACCTGCCAGATGTGTGGGTTTTTTTTGTTTTGTTTTTGTTTTTTGTTTTTTTTTTAAAAAAAAAAAGCAGCAACATCCTGGGAGCTATGGCTTTAGTCCGGATTTTCCCTTCTCTTTGCTCTTAGCTCCACTGTGTCACACTAACAGCTTTTGCCTCTTCCTGCAAGCTGCCATCATGCTCAGTGGGTAGGAGGTGGCAGCCTGCTTCTTGATTTAAACAGCAGGCAAAGGATTCCAGCTGTGCTCCTGATTGCTCACTGACCTCAGTTTTTCTGATTAAATTATCCATTCCCTGCAGCTAACCAACCAGTTAGAATGCTTTCCCTCATTTCATGTTTTCTCTACAAGCCAGGGAAGACTTTGTTGTTGGTAACAATGGAACATAACAAATTCATGTTCTTAGGTAAGTCAGGATTTTACCGACCAGTTGTCAGGGATGTTTTTAATCTGTTTTGATGCTGATGTTTCAAATATATTAAAAGGTGGGAACAAAAACTAGTTTAGAAACCATCATTAATGTGATATCTGCAGATGATGGGTAGAGACATGAAAACATCATTGTTGTCACTGCAGCATACATCTCTAAAGAGATAAGGTGGTAGAGGAAAAGCTGAAAAAACGTTGCTGAGAACCAATGCATGGCCTGTGAGATTTTACTAGAAAGGGCCTCAAAAAGCCCTCAGTAGGCAGTGCAATAAATGCAGAAGGCAATAGAGAACATACTTGAGGAGCAGCAGACGTGCAATGAAGGCGTATGTAGAATGCAGTTAAACTGTAAGATGGACACTGTTGAAAAGCCAGTGATTTGAATGTAACAGGTGCGCTTTATTCTGAGTGGAGACAGGTGGGGCAGGCTTCTAATAGGGCTTCAGAGTTCTGTATCATGATTTCTTGATGCTCAGGCTGATGTTTCAGAGTTCACACTTTAGCAGCTGAGGGTATGTGCAAGTAAAAAAGTCTCATTTCAACATTTTGGAAAATATTGGGAACTCATGCTGGAAAAACACCTGTAAGACAATGCAATTGTTTGTCACAGCCAGCATGAGTTCTAAAGGGGAGGGTCCAGTTTAACAAACTTAATCTCCCTTTATGACAAGGTTACCCAAGTTGACCAATGGAAGCCAGTTGATGTTAAATTTTTGGATTTCAGCAGTGTTTTCAAAGCTTTTCTCACAGTATTCTTTTGGACAAAATGTCTGGTATACAACTAGGCAAAAACATAACGGGATAGGTGAATAACTGTCTGATGGGCCATGGTCTAAGGGTCACAGTGAATGGCGTTACATCGGGGTGGTAGCTAGCTGCTAGTGATGTTCTTCAGGGCTTCATTTCAGGGCCAGTTCTTGTCAACATTTTCATCAATGACTCGAATACAGGACTCTAAAGTATAGTAAGTTTGCAGGTGAACCTAAATTGTGAGGAGCTGTTGACTCCCTGTGGGATAGAGAACTTCACAAAGAGATTTTGACAAACTCTAGGGCTGGGGTAGTTGCCAGCAGCATGAAGTTTAACAAGAGCAACTGCCAGATTCTGAAGCTTCCTCAAGGGAGCAGAGGGGCAGTGCTGAGTGCTGCTGTCTGTGACAGCAACAGGGCCCAAGGGAATGGCATGGAGCTGTGTCAGGGGAGGGGTAGCTGGAGGTTAGGGTGGTGGGCATGGAACAGGATGCCCAGGGCAGTGGTCATGATCCCAAGCTGCCAGAGTTCAAGGAGCTTTTGGACGATGTTCTCAGACACAGGGTCTGAATTTTGGGTGGTCCTGTGTGGGTCTCTTCCAACTCAGGATATTCTATGATTCTGGCACTGACTTATAAACAAGTTCATCGTACAACTGACACACATTTGTGTTCAAATGTTTTATTTAATTTAAAGTTCACTTTTTTCCCTAAACATATAATAATTTGTGACCGCTTTTAAAGTTCTGTAATAAAAATCTTAACCACATTCGTAAGTTCAGTGCCTGCCTAAACTTCTAGCCAGGCTTCAGACAACCCAATAAAAAATGTTATTGGCCAAATGTTAATGATGAAATGTATTCTGTTAATGGAGAACATTTCAGAAAAAGCAGGTCCTGTTCACTACGTTGCAAGGAGAAAGCCCTGGAAGTCCTGTTGCTTTTTGACATCCCATTGCCACTGTGTCTCTGGAGAGGACATCATCTGTGCACAAGTGCCACGTTTTCAGCACTAGATCTAAGAAACCTCATAGGCTTTTTTGAGACTCTTATGCTTTGAAGCAACAGAAATAAATTTTTTTTGGCCAGCATTCTATCCAAAATGTGTAGATAATTCCTATACAGTTAAAATGAAGCATAAAATTGTACTGTACCAAGAGGAAAACTAGTAAAACAGATCTTGCTGAGCATGAGCCAAGCTAAATGAGTCTAACACTCTTCAGGAACCTGCCCTACTTCAGCTCCTGTTGCCCAAACCATAGAGCGGTGGTAGGCTTGCCAAAACCCTTAGTGCTTATACTGATAGCCTGGTGATCCCCTGTGGCTCCATCCTTTCAGATGGTAGCAAGAACCATTGGCTTTTCTATCATAGGCGCTGGGGCTGCCCCCATCATGCTGTTAGTGGCTGTAGAACACCACATTTATACATTCATAGGCTCATACTCTTTTATTTCCAAAATTCCTCATGTATATTTTTCAGCCACTTTCTTTGCTTGATTATTGTCTTTCGAGGTCTTCTTATCCCTTCAAATAAAAAAGAAACATTAAAAAAATTTAAAAAAAAAAAAAAAAGAAAAATAAAGGCTTAAAGAAGAGGTTGCTGGAGAATTTAACTTTTAAGATGAAGAGTGTGAGGTCTGAAGTCACCTTTCCAGATGTTTCCATCATTGTTAAGTGAATGGGGGACTCAGGACCTGTTGTACAGCTGCAGCTCTGCTGCGGCCTGACTCACCTGCAGCTGCACTTTGGCTTTGCAGTGATTGCCATTAATCTGAACCATGTGCCTGCTGCCATCTTCTAACAGCCACATATTTTCCACATATTTCTTAGTCGTTGCAGTGCTTTGTTCCGATGTCTTTGAGAAAACATCTGCCCTGAGGATTCCCCTTTTTATAACCTCTTTAAAATATGTCACTGCTCGCTCTTAAAATCTCTTCCTTGATCCCATCACCAGTGCCTGGCCCCTCAGTGACCTCCCATTTCTTAGCAAGAAAATTGGGGAGGGATGTTCATTTGTTTGCTTTGTGTATTACAGCATTCTGTGTTATGTTATGGTCAAGTGGCTTGCTCAGTCTATAGCACAGAAGCACCTCTGTGCTTTAGAAGAGATGCCTCTTCGGACTGCTGAAGGCCCTCTGTTTCTTGACATGTGTACAGTGTCAGAAAGCAGACCCCTGCCCTGTATCTCCCTGCACCAGCCCAGCTTCGGGATTACAGTCATTAGGTTCTTGCAGCCTAACAAATCATTTTACCCCTCTGTGCTAAAGCCCATTGGCAGCAAACACCCACATAAAGCTGCCCCTGGACTTCCACTGGTTGCTCCTCTACTTGGTCAGCTTGCTTCCTTCTTTAATTTCTTTTCTGCTAGGTACATAGCACACGCTTTTTGCTGCTCTTTTTGAGTGAAACCTTCTTGCGTGCTGTCTCCATTTATTCTGCTTTTTTTTCAGCTTTATTTTCAAAGCCAAGAGTGTACTTTTTCAGCAATAATAAGTTCCTCTTCCTCTACTGCTTTTTCCAATCCAGATTCTCAACATGCCTTTGCTCCCTAAAGCCTTCACAAGATTCTTAAGATTTCTTTCCCCTTCTGTGTGACACATCTCCAGAGAAATCTCTATTTCTGCCAGAGACTCCGACACTGATGACATTTTATTTGATTTTCTTAATGCTCCCTTACAGCTCCCTTCCCTTATATCTGCCTTGATATCCAGCATTCCTTAAACAAAAATGTCATTTCAGGTTTTCTCATATGGATGAGAAAGATGATTGCCCGACGGTAAAGGCATTGTTTAGTTTAGTTTTGTTTTCCATAGGATCATAGAATATCCCAAGCTGGAAGGGATATTCCATGGGGATCATAGAGCCCTGACAATAGGGACGGTTTTTTGCTTCCAAGCAGATTATTTGAAAAATAATTTGGGTTTCAAATAAGGGTCTGAGCAACAGAAATTTGTATATTGTCAGATCCAGCTGAGTGGAAAGCAGAACTGAAGTAGTTGTAAGTAAAGGTAAACTGCCTCTGGTACTTGACACAGAGGTAGTAATTCAAGCCAGCATGCTGATAATGCAATATATACGCCTCAAAAATTATTTAGTAATTGATTTTATTTCTCTCCTTCAGGTTAAGCAGCTTTCTACTGATTGCCAATCATGGCTTTGAACATGAAGAGAATCTTTGACAGGAACGGTGTTCCCTTGGGGTCTGTATTGAGGCCAGCCCTGTTCAACATCTTTGCTGATGATCTGGACAAAGGGATTGAGTGCATCCTTGGTAAGTTTGCAGATGATACCAAGCTGGAAGGAAGTAATGATCAGTACTAGATTTTGTGCTGCTCATCTTCTTGGGGCAGGGACCATCTGTTTGATTTTGCATACAGCACAAAGCTGCTGTAGCCATTGCACTGGGCATTTTGGCTAATTCTGCAGACACAGGACCACATATATGCACCGGGTGGCAATCTGCCTTGCGCTGCTGTTGGTTCTGGGCAGCTCACATCAGTTCACAGCAGCCTTGAGGGTGTAACTGCAGGTTGCATACATCTGTAAATACATCATCTACCCCCCAGGAGAACATACATCTATACCTACCTCCAAGAGGGATTCTTGGAGGAAAATAACTTATGAGAGCTATCTTGCAGTCCTTCTAGCTCGACTTTAATGAAAGTTCTGCCTCTGGGATCCTCAGCTCATGGTTGAACAAAGCTGGAGCCATCTGTGCAGCTACTTTTACCATCACAGGAGCAGATGCTGTTTCAGTGCAGCATCCTAGAAGGCCACAGGAGGCTGAAAATGAAATCTGTATGATAAAAATAAGAAATCAGTCTTCCTTTTTCTTTCTTTCTTCTGCCCCTCTCCCCCCATTTGTCTCCAATCTATTAAAATACTTGTGAATCTTCCTGGAGATTTACCGGCATTAATTCCAGCAGGACAAACCCTCATCATTTTTCTCTATTCAGTTAAACCTAACACCACTGCTGTCATCACTAACAGGTTAAACAGAGCTAAATACATCATCTTATTGTGAATTACATACAATTTGGCCTTTGTTTTTCTTCTGTGGGCAGTGATATCTGCTTTCTACTCTGAATTTGTCATTAGTAAACTAGAACTTACCCAGTGAGAGCTGTTAAGTGCTTGTATAAAGCAATCAGTCAGAAAACGTTACCAAAGAATGTCAGCAGGTGGGGCCCAGAGATATTACAGAGAGTTACAACCATTTCTAAAATGGAGGTGAAAATTGCAGTTCTCACCACTGTTCACTGCACAATGTGGCTTCTAAAAATGCTGGCAAACAGAAATTCAGCACTGCCAACTGCAATTGTATCATGAGTTGATGATACTAAGTACTGAATGAAGTCCCCACTCCTGCAGGCATCTGGATTAGATGAAGATCTCAACTTTCATTTTGTATAAAAGCCCCATGAGTCTAACACACGTGGTTAGAAAAGTCGGACCAAGCATGAGTGTCATTTCACCCAGTTTTATTGTCTGCAATTTAGACATCTGCTCCGAGCCGTTAGGTCACCTGTCCTAACAGTGGGGAGAGTGACAAATCGAGGTGGCTGCGTGCCCCTGTCAGCACTCCAGCATCACATCTCCTACCACCAGGTGGTTGCGGGTGCTGGCTGTGCAACAGAACACATCAGCTACCTGGCTAAAAGCTGAGGGCTATGAAAGTAGTAAAGCTGATCCCACTGGTGCCAGGTGATATAAAAGCAGACAACTATACACAGTTACACGGCAGATTTCACTTAGCCTTTGTGCCATGTCAATAGTGGGGCTGGAGGAGGTGACATTCGAAGAGTTCCTCCAGCTTCGGTCTAGAGATATCATGACACCCTCACTCCAATGGGAGTTGGCTGAGAGCCTTCACTTGGAGAGGCAAAAATTGTGCCCAAGTGTGGGTACACATTCTGTTTTGGATTTTAGTTCCCCCCCCCCCCCCTTCAGATTACACTTTCTTATAGCAGCTGTGAAATGTCATAATGCTTCAAAAGATCCCTTCAAAAAATAAAATAAAACGATGGTAGCTTTTTTGTATCCAAGGTTCTTGAGTATCCAAGATCCTCTCCTCTCTTGGATCTTGGAAGAAAGGAGCAGCTGCTGTGAATGAAGGATGCCAGATGGGAAAATAACCACACAGAAATACGGTGTGCAACACTGCAATAGGAGTACTGGCTCTTTGGGTACATGGGGACCTCAGGAGGCAGACATAGCTGCAGACCAGGTGTATCAAAAGCCTGTCATATATTATATCTGTAATTACTAAATGTTTAACTCAGGTCATTTGCCTCATCTTATTACAAAAAAATAAAAAAATTTTAAAAAAGTATGCAAGAAGACTGGGTAGTTCTCCAGGTCTCACTGCTGACTGTAGTAAAAGAGCAGAGAAAACATCTAATTCTGTTCATGTCATGAGGAACCCAGCATTTTCCATCTCAATTGCTGGACACAAGATACTGCAGGTATAAAAGTCTGTTTGGGTTCAAGACGTAACTCTGTAAGTTTGTAAACCATAAACACACCAAGAGCTAATACAAATACAAAAAATGCACTCCTTTCTGGCTCAGACAGAAGCTGCTGGAGAATGAGAAGCATCCCTTTGCATCCAGTATCAGCAATGGCAGGGCAAAGCTATCCCAGAGGGATGAATTTCTGTCCTGATCCGCTTGGTAGCTCTTATATTCTTGTAGATTCATTTTGTAGCAAGTTTGGTCAATGGAGTTATTTGTTATTTATCAATTTGTTGTCTTACCACTCACTGCTTTTTTCTTCTTTTCTTCTTTTTTAATCATCTGTGTGTCTTCTGTATGTAAAGCAGCATTCACTTACAGGAAAACACATTGACCAAGCTAACAAGCTCAGGTTGCACAAAATCACTCCAACACCTGAAAGGAGAGGGAAGTGAGGTGTAACGGACAAACGGGTTGCTCTCCAGTCTCAGGGGATCTCCCAGCATCACCGGCCATTGATCATTAAGCATAGCCATTACCCAAGGAACAAACACTTCACAGTTCATTGCAGCAGAGACAGAGGAACAAGAAATTAAGGACTGATTGAGCCTGAGGAAACAAAGGGGGGTGAAGTGGAGTATGTTTTTTAAATTTTGTTCTTGTTAATAAACTATCCAAATCTATTTTAACTGGCAATTATTAACAAAAAAAAAAAAAAAAAAAATCCCCAATTCAATGCTGGCTTGCTCCTGACAGTAATAGGTAAATTGCCACCTTTGAGGAGGTAGAGTTGTCTCTTCCCTGGAAAGGCTGCTTGGAGGAAGAGGAAGCCTTCAAGGCATGCAGGCCCAAGTAGAACGAGTGCTTTGCTCCACTGTGTGAAGGAGAGCAATCTTAAGCAAGGATGTTTGACAGTTTTAGAATACAAGTATAAATAGGAATTATATTCAATGCATACTTCACACCTTGCAGTGACAGAATGTGCTCAGAATTATTCTTTCCACTTGTTAGTCCCTGCTTCCAACAGAATGATTTAACTTCTCACATGATTCAGAGCTTTTACCTTGCAGGGTTTATTTTACATCCACATGCTTGCAGAGATGAGTAAGTCTCTTGGCCACAGGGCCACAGGCAGAATTTTAAACAAAATCATGTGGAAAACATATTGCAAAGAACCATAATAATTTTGAACCTTCAAAATACAATATTCGGAGCAGTGCCTTCTATTAAAGAGTGCTGAAGAGGTTGGTAAAGACCTTTGGTATCCCAAATGGAGCTCCAAGGTGAAGACAATTCCTTCCATTCACCTAGTTTGATATTAACTAACCTGCCAACATTACAAGCCATACAGATCCCAAAGGCAAGATGATCAGCTTTCCTGGGTCAGACTGCTTGTTCCACACTTTTCCTCAAGAAAGGAAAGCAATAAAAGCCTTCTGGGCAGATCCCAAAGAGTAGGGCTGTGCCAGCCCGCATCTGTACAGAAGAGAAAGTGGAACAGCAGCATGGTTTTTGTTGGCATCACTTTGCTTACCTCACTCCTCAGTATTCGCTGCTCTTCAGCAATTGCAAGGAGGCTGCTGCAGAGTCATCACATGAGCCCACTCCAAAGCTATCAGCAAGGTCTGGTACTTCCATCTGTGCCCTTGTCACCTGCAAGTGAAACAGCCTCACCCTCCCCAGGCTGACTGCCTCAGTCCTGCAGGAACTGGTGGAGATGTGAGAGTCCCAGCTGGAACACAGAGCCCTCCCTGAACTGTCAGCCCTGCTCTCCTCCTGCCCTGCCACAGCTCCCACCACTCGGCCAACACCGATGTTTTCTCTCCGGGCTGCTCTTGGCTTCCTGCTCCACAGCTGCACTCTCCACATCAGAAGGGACTTTCCAGAGAAAAGTGAAATTAGTAAAAATTAATATAATTGAATGCATTTTGTTTTACCAGAGAGACTGTTTGTGGTTTGCAAATGATACATGAGACATTATAAAATATTTTCTAACAGTACCCTATAGAGATGACTTGTCTGTAAAACATAAAATATGGCTGGCGGGAAACCAGCACATTGACTCAATAAAACATGACATTAGCTGACACCAAAAACAATCTAGTTAAGCAGCAGAAAACTTTACAGCCTCAGTTATTTGAGAAATACAGAGGTAGTCCAGCTATTAAAATGGAAGGGATCATTAGGGTAACGCACACTATTTGCTTCAGTGTCATTAAAATGCAATGCTATGAATCCATTGAGGTGGAACTTCTTTGACTCTTATTCTCCTGACTGCTCAAAAAATAGCAAGAGACCAACAACCACTTTGAAAACACAATGTTTTGCAACATTCACTCAGAAATATCTCTAGCTGAGCCAATCAAGGCTTCAGAGTCTATGGAGCATATACATTTTCAGTGTGTAATGGTAACACACATTCTTGACATACTCCAACAATGCAATCAGTCAAATCAGTGTAACTAAAGCCATTGCTTGGGTCTACCCTACACTTTGGACACAAATGAGCAATTGTAATCTTCACTGTCTTCTAACTGGTATTTCGCAGAACATCTGTGCACAGAAAAGCAGAGCTCCTTGCCTTGTAAGAACAGCACTTAGGAGGCTAACATAGAACTGGATAGTTACTTGTTCACACCAGTATTGTTGTGGTGAGGTGCTCCATGGGAACTCCAATAACAAGCCTGCATCAGATGTAGGAAACAGAAAGGAAAAACAGCTGAAGACATTCTTAACCATTCTTTCAACTACTGGGGCCTTCTGGGCAACAGCTCCTAAAAGGCAATTCCTAAAGTTCCTCTCAACACCAACACCAAAATAGTCCACATCAGTTTCATGCTGGCTTAACTCTTAGTGCCACAGGCCCAGAAGAAATGTGGTCTCTGCTGTTCTGCCCATGACCAGCATCATTACAGAATGCTCAAAAATATGGGGAGGTGAGATCAAACATTAAATCACAAAGAGGTGAACATGGCTGCTAGGGCTGCAGGCAAGACCTTGACACAATAATTGAAAGATACCTGGCATGCAACAACATATGCAGCTGCTGCACATTTTTTTTCTAGTTATCTATTGGACACAGAAAGAGAGCAAGGTGAATTTTCTTTTTTTCTTTTTTCTTTTTTTCCTTTTTTTAACTGGCACTGTGTTTGAAAGTGTCTAGTACTATGGATCATGGCAAGTAACTAAGGTTCCTGAGTAGTAAAAGAATCTGTGAATAAATTAATAGAACAAAGTAATTCCACAGAGTAAATGTATAACAGCAACTGATTCAACCTTAAATTCTAAAATGGTGTGATACTGTTCTGAAAAGACTTTAAATGTCAACATGCAAAGATTTAATATGCTTTTTCCCTTAGGCTAAACTAAAGAAAAATTGGCTAACTTGCCTGGAGTTAACATCAAATAGGTCCCATTTATCAAGCTGCCACTTGAACTTGAGAAGTAGCAATTTAGCCATTCCTAAACCGGTTGGTTTGGCCCTTCTGAAATTGCAGATGGGTTGTGGTTTATATGCAACCTTATCTGCTAGAAGTGACTGACATTAGAACAACACAGCACTGCAATCTTGGCATTATACAAAGCTGGTGAGATCCTCATCCCAAATTCTGGTTAATTTCAGCTGTTTGTGTTATTTCTGTGATTTATGGGTATAGGTCCCACATAAGTCACCCACCAGAGAAAAAATAATTGATAGATTCTCCATTAGCTTTCTGAGTTGTTTTTTCCCTTCCTTGGATCAACATTTCTTTAGTAAAAGATTATTATTCTCTCTCCACAGCTATAAATTCTTCAGCCAGCTCCTCTGTTACCATGCAGTCTGCTGGGCATATTCCAGAATTATTTCTGAAGTTTCCTCAGATTTCCATATAAGTCCAAAATTTCCATAGTCCTGCTCTATGGCAGCATGAGAGCCAACCCTTACTGCTTCAGTAGAAAATGTTGAAACACTTGGTTCCGCTGATGCTGAGCAGTTGGTTACACTGATCGGTAAATTAAGGACGCCAAACCCAGGATTTTGGGCAAACGCTGCCACAGTTATCTCACCCATTTCTCTCCAGTAGCACTTCACAGCAAAACAGTCTTCTCCAGAAACAGCAGGGACAAGAAGTACCAAGCCCTTCCCACACAGTCTGGCACTAATAATTTCCAGAAAAAGAGATGTTGTGGAGCAGCTGCTAAAAAAAGCGAAGAAATGCCATATCACAGAATCACAGAACGGCCAGAGTTGGAGGGGACCTCAAGGATCATGAATCTCCAACCCCTCTGCCGCATGCAGGGCCACCAACCTCCAAATTTAATATTAGACCAGGCTGCCAAGGGCCCCATCCAATCTGGCCTTGAACACCTCCAGGGACGGGGCAAAAATACATAAATGGTGTCAAACAAAATGACACTCCTCCATTGGAGGCAAGGAAACTGCTTGCAGGCTCCAAGTCAAGCATGACCTAAATTGCTGCGCGAGAATAGATGTGCTGCCCTCAACACAGCAGTGTCCTTCCCAGTACCCAATGGCACAGGGTGGCTGTCATGCATGCTGCAAAGCAGGCACCGGCTCATGGCCTTCATGTCTGTGATCCCCACACAGAGAAAAAAATGAATTAGCCAACAAAAACAGTGTTTGTTTTGTTGCCATCTCAGTAGACATCCTAGTAGAGCTAATAGGGAAAAGAAACCTCATCAGAGAAAGGAAAGGTCAGAAGGCTAATAAAATAAGTACAGCTATTATGTACTCACTTGGCAATTCATAAGGGAGTGTAATTTTCTTCTCTTTTCAGTTTGGATTTGTCAAATGACTTTCTTACTACTGAAAAAAAAAATAAATCAGCCCTTCACACAAGGATTGTTACTGAAAAATCACACCACTGAATAACTTCACATAGGCTACAAATTTACGTTTATACTTCCTAGCTTTCCAGTTTGTTTCATTTTTGCATTTTTCTTCCAACAGTTATGGCTATTATAGAAAAGAAGTGCAGTACATTTAAAAAAATACTGGCCAAAAAGGTAACGTTACACTAAGTACTATTCTTAAAGAGCATAGCTGGCCAACTGCCACTCTGATTTAACGCCTACCAGCAAAACAGAAGCTGGGAAGGAAAGCAGCCTGAAAGGCTCCAAGAGAGGTGGCATGGTCACATGTGACAGAGCAGGCTTGTTCCCAGGAACCAACAAGAGAAGTCACCTGCTACAACAACGCTATCCCAGATTTACAGAAGGCAGCTCTCAGGATGGAGCCCACCTTGCACAACAGCAGGATACTTCTTCTCCGCAGACTTCTGTGTAGTCATCAGCCAAAAGATCAGTGCCTTTGGCTTCTCCATGGACCCAGAAGAATTGTTTAGCATAAAATCTGTGAAAGGCATGAGAAGTGCTCTACTCTAATTCCTTGTAGAGCAAGTTCCATGTGCTGCAGTGGAAGCTGTGTTTTGATGGAGTACACTTCCTCTCTGAGCAACAATACACTTACTCTGCATAGAGAAGAAAAAACGTGCCAGCCAGCTGTCCCTCCACAGCCACGGAGCTTTTGTTAGGCATTGCATTTGTGGTTTTAGAGCGTCTGCTTCTGACAGAAGGCTTTTCACTTCAGCCTTTTCTGAAGCTGCAACATGAACACCAAGAACTATTTCTGAGCTCTCTCTAGGACACCACTTCTCTTAGCTTCCTTTCTACAGAAAACAACATCCTGAGATTCTTTGCA